ACTGGATCAGTTGAATTATTCATGGGTACAAGTCAATACATGTGTAAACCTAACCTGAAATTCAACGAAAAGAATGATAACTGTAAAGGTAACCGGCGGGGATTGAACCCGGTACCTTTCGCTTCCCAACCCAACGACATAACATTGAGCTGCAGGAGCAGTTGAATATTAGATCCCAACAATTTCAATCAATTTATAAACCTAACGTGCAAACCTTTTCTACCAATCGTTGAGTTTCCTCATGTGCAGTCTCTCAACTGCCGTATACACAAATTTGAATGGCCTTGCCTCTTTTCATTTTCTCCCTGGTTAGCTATGACGAACACGAACATGTCCATGTAATTCCTTTGCAACATGACCTTCACGGCCATCGCCGCTGGAGCGGTGCCGATGGTGGTGGTGCCCGATCCGTCAGGTCGTGAAACGGCAACTCAGCGACGTCGCCGCCAGCGCGAGGCATCAGTGCAGCGCCGCTTCCAAGTGTACGAGGATCGTCTGTCCAGCAACCGCAACGGCCACAACGACCGACCCTACTACGATGACCGCCGTAACAACCGACCGTATTACCACGACCGCCGCAACGCGGACTACTCGTTCTCTGGCCGTGGTTGTCGTGGCGGCGGCCGTGGCGGTGGTCGAGGCGGTGGCCGAGGGAGCGGCCGTCCCTGGTCTCCTTCGGGTCAAAATGACCGCGACCGCCGCCCACACTCGCCTGCCAAATGACCGCAGCCAAGTGCAAACTCGAAACACCGGATGGGGTCCACCACCACCACTAACCCGCAACGGAGGATGGGACATGCCTATCATTGTGCATGATGCCGTCGTACTTGAAGATGCGACATCTGCGGCGTCACCCGAACCTGGTACCGTGCCCGCGACATCTGCGGCGTCGTCCGAAGCCGGTGCCGTGCCCGCGCCGTCGCAAACAGCTAAAGTGGATGCCGTGCCCGCGCCGTCGCAAACAGCCGAAGTGGATGCCGTCCCTGCGCCGGAGGAAGTCGCGCAAGTTGTTGCGCCGCCACTCAAAGTTGACGTTCTCGCTGCTGGCGACGACGATCTTGTAGTTGCACTGCTCGAAGGAGGAAACTAGATCATGAGTATGATAAGTTCACGTATTCATGCATGACATAAGATTTCCTTGTGATGTGACGTGTTGTCTTTTCCGTCGGATCCCAAGGCAATTCTCACGCAAAAGTTGAAGTGAGTGCAATACTTTGCGATATAGCCTAATAACTATTGGCTGGAATTTATTGTTACTACACTGCGAATCGCACGACAATGGGTGATATCTTTTTTAAATTACAGCTTGATGTTCAGAATAAAGAAGTTTCATTGGCCAAAATATACTGGCTTTATCGTACTATTCGTGTGTTTCATTGGCTTAGCCACCAACCTGCGAATCGCAGGCCGGTCCACACGTCCGGGTTAATTATGACATATTTATATTTTATTAAAGATACGTAACTAACTTATTATCGTGGAATGTTGTGGGCACTTTCGTTTGTGTTCACGCTCGAGGGGGGAACAAGTGAATTGTGACCGCACAGCCGGGAGTGGCGTGGCGGATAAAAGAGGCTAGGGGGAGCAGATTCAACACTGACTGGTCCTCACATCTGGTTTGGTTGGCTCAGAGGCCCTAATCTTCTCCACCGACCTCTCACGAAAACTAGGTTTCTGTTACACTAAAACCCGTCGATTTCGTTTGTGTTCACGCTCGAAAATGCAACAAAAAAGGGGGGGAACAAGAGAATTGTGACCGCACAGCTGGGAGTGGCGTGGCGATAGCCCCAATCACAGGGCACTTGATACCATGTTGGTTTTCATGCCAGCGACTTCGTGCCCGCTGATACGAGTGTACATTTTGTACGTGTCCGAGGACCAGTGACCAAAAAACTGGATGGACAGATCGGTCGCGCCACCGTTGAAAAGTGCTGTCGCGCCGCCGCTTCGGAGCGAGTGTGTCAAGTACTTCGAACTGCCGAGGCCGATGGCTGCAGCGGCAGTTTGGATTAGCAGTGCTATTTCCTCGCATTTGATGAGCTTCCCGCGGGATGCACAACACAGTGGGTCTGCAGGGTAGGGCCCGATGTTGTGTGCAGTACTTGCAGCACCCACGCTGCTGCGATGGGGCAGAGCCAGGGGAGTCCCGATTTTCCGAGTTGGAGTTTTGTGTTTATGCCCTTCTGGTCGGTTTTGGAACTTCGTACGACTGACAAACTGGACTGTGAAAACTGAGTCATAGTGCCGTGTTCGTTGGTCGCGGCGGTCGAGAAACGTGATGTCGCGCACACAGATTGTGTGATTCGTGGGTTTTCCACTGACGGCCGTGTATTTTGATCTTCGGAGAAGAAATAGAACGCTAGGACAATAGAGCCCCAGATAACTTTGTCGTGGCTTGCGGAGAGGTGTAGCCGACCGTGTATGGTTTGCAGGAGAGCAATGGAGACAGGATCTTTGGCGTGACGGACTGGGCGGGTGCGGTCCATACCTCGCAGTTGAATTGCGTGTTCGGTGTTGAGTTGGACGGCAAATCCAAGTGCACACCTGTGATGCCAGGATATGATAGCGATCTTGGAGCGGATCGTGCTGGTAGCGTGGGGCGCTGGCCTCCGTGGACCAGATAGACCGTGCGTATGAAGAGTGCTGCCGATGCTGTAGCTTTTGTAAGCCATTTTGATTAGCCGATCGAGTGTTTGCAATGTTCCCATTCGCCCCAGACTTGAGTGTACCGGGACGCTGAGGATGGGGCCTATGTGACGGTCGTAGGGGTTAGACGCACAAAAGTTACGAAGGTCCGGAGGTTCGGACTTCAGGACCGGATACTCTCGGCTTGGCCAAGAAGAACACAACAAGAAAGGAGTAGATCCAATGTTAGGCAAATATAAAAGTGAACTATCTAAAAGCTAACGAAAGCTGACGACCTTTGGGGAAAGGTCTTGTAGAATAAAAGGCAAGACGGTCAAATTCGAAGGTAGTCGGCCCTTCGAATAATATACCTTTGCGAAGGCAATACCACGAAGTGGTATAGTAGTATGAGCCCATGCTCCAGCTCCGTCACAAGTCCAGCGGCGAAGATTCGACCCTCTCGTCGAATTAGATTTGAATCGACGGAGTTGGGGTAGGTGGTGTCGGGTAGGTCAAAAAGGGTAAAAGGTCCAGTTTGCACGTAGCCGGTTTTCGTCGCCACAAAAGTAGTGATGCAGGCGCTGACAACCGACAAAGCCGAGGATAGTGGTGCAGATGGAGGAGCCGGAAGGAGGTCGCGTGAAAATGAGTGGTCATGGAGTTCGGTACGACGAGGCCACGACAAAATGTACGACGGCACCCGGGACCAGGTGCTGGTAGTCTCAGACTGGACATAATATCGCAGACAGGGCAGATGATTGGACGAAATAGGTCGGAAAACAAGGGAATAGTCGGTCAGAATAGTCCGTCGGACAACAGTCTCCAGATGGGAACTGACTGTAGTCTCCATCCATCACTCAGTCAGGCAGCCAATCGGAGGCGACCATGAGTTGACTTCGGCCAGTTGGTAAGATCGTCGAATTGTGGTTCTCTGGGTAGGGCATTTTCCAATTTACGCGTCATGGTTCCTGCGTCAGGGGCAGCCGGGAAGAAGCGGTCGACGTTGTTGTCTTTGACTCGTCGCAACGCGGAGATCCAGAGCGAGGCGGCTATCTTGCGGCAGACTGATCGTCAGGAAGACGAGGCTAATAGAGCAGCAGCGCCGGCCTACGCCGCCGCTCATCAGCGACGGCTGGCATTGGCAAACAAGATCGTGGCGTTGGCGGAGGCGCAGCAGGACGAGTTCGATCGATGGGTGCCAGAAACGCCGGAAGACTACACGGTGGGCGAGTACCTCCAATGGTATACCGCACAGCC